ACTATTACGACTACTTTTCTGACATTAGTATCGCTTAGTATTCGCGAGTATTGACAGTTGATGTTTTAGCGTCAGATTGTACTGTAACTGTACGAGTATAGACTACATTACAGTACTTTATCGTCATGTTATAAATTCCCTTACTCTAAGGATAGGGTTTTGCTACTAAGTCAAATTTCTTTACAATTTGAATAGACGATCAAACGCCCTTTCTTTAGATTAGGCATTTGCTCTATAGGGCTACTTCTATAGTAATCTATATAATACCTTGTAAAATAATGAAGAAGAAAAGATGGCGACATGATGATTTGGCAGGGTAAAACTTAAAGACACTATCACTTTCTAGGTATTTTGTATAGTAAAATAATACTAATTACATACTAAAAACTACAAAGGACTCTACTTTTAGTCCTTTTACTACACAATCTTCCGCAAAAGTGGCATAATAGTACTTTAAATTCTCTTGTTGTAAGGATATGTTATCTGGTATTGAAGAGCTTATTGTATAACTAATATCACATCATTCACGCACGTACAGTTTATTTACTTTCGATTCAAATATTTTATAAAGGAGTGAGTAACCTTAGTTTATGATAATGTATTTTCCAAAACATTAAATATTCATTTCACATAGCTGAACTTTAATTTTACTTTATACCGTAACAAATTTGGTCTATGAATCGATAATTTATCGTGGATATCTTTAAAAACGTGATTCTATTTTCCTACGTAAAATCCAGCTCACTTATCACATGCTGGCTTGAAGTAGTATGTAAGTTAGATTTCGTTACGTATTTTTCCAGCTTAAGTATCTGCAACGAAAATCACTACAGTGAGATGGTCAATATTTCAGTATTAGGCGAAAAAGTTACCTCAAAGACCTGATTGCCAAGATTTTCCTACTTATCTTTTCTTGGAGTGATCAGGCTGATATTGAAATATTTCTTCTCATACTGAGACATTAGGCCCATCAGGATATCTGATAGTTTGGACTCGCATTATATGACACTATATGCAAATTTTCTCCATAATTTTGTTTATTTAACCTCTTCTTTCCCATACTAAAGCTATACTTTTACTTTATGTCCATTGGGTCATCAAAGTTCTTGATCTAGCACGAAGACAGAGGTACTGATACTTCAACGCTTACTGATTAATATTTTATTATTTAATATAAATTATGCAAATTGAATGCAAACGTTCGTTATTATAGACCTTCTGCATGTACGTATATAGTAATCCTATGTCTGTTTGAAGAGTTAAGTTGCAGACTTTCGCCAAAGTTTTCCTAACGAAAGTAACTGTACTGCATGTATCTCAGCATCATAGTCTTCTAACAGCTTGCCATAACTTGAGCTAGCAATCAAAATTCAAAATTGAGGACGCCTTAAACAGGCATCCAAAAGATCGTGAACTCACATCAGGCTGTGTGACTAGAAAAAATTCTCTTAGCTAGATTTTCTCTTAATTTCCGTTATGACTCATCCATCAAAGTTGTCAAACTATGCAAATTATGTTGATTGATTAATTAGCATAACTATAACGGATTAAAGTGGTAGTAGAGTATAAATGAATGATGATCGATGTAGGTTTATCTTTAGTCTAGTAAGCTCTATTACAGTGTAAATCTTTGTCCTAGTTCATTCAAACCTCTATGTTTCCCCTTCTTGTTAATAGATCAAGATAACTAATCTGAGTGCTTAATCTCAATCTTAGTCTGGCAACCGCTACTGCAGTGCAGTCTTTTTCCAAGCTCACTTAAACCTATAGCTTTTTCCTCTCTTATACGAAAACTGAACTTCATCGAGGCTAAAGTAGTTAAATGTCTGCATATCGAATTCTTGACGTGTTAACGAATAGTAATGATACGATCAGCCAAGGTAAAGTAGCATTGATCAACTGCTATTTCTCAATTTATAGAGTTTATTAACATATTTTTAAATTAAATTAAATTGTATTCAGATTAAGTCCATTGCTTATTGACTTCGTAGCATATATTACCCTTTCTAGTATACAGCTGTGTAGCTTACATGAAATAGCTTTAAATAGATGTTAAGGTTAAAATTTCTGCTGATGCGATAACAGATTGCTTGCTAGAATTAGATTGTAATTAATACCACGTAGTTTTAATGCTTACCTTACGTCAAAGTAACTGTGTAAAGTAATCGATAAAAAAGACTTACCTGTAGTCGTTTTTCATTTTGGTTTTTCCTCTAATTATTGAAGAGATAATTTTTTCATTTGTTAGTTGCTTAATCATCATTATTATTCGTTTCCAACGTAGGTACTCTTATCAGAACCTCAGAAACTTCGCTAGGTGTCGTTACCTTCTGCTGTCTGCTTCTTATTAGCTTAAAATTCATTAAAAAGTATCACTTTAGAAGCCAGAAGTCTGCAAAATCTGTTCAATAAACAAGCTTAATGTGTAATAGAGATACACTTGATAGATCATCTACATCAGACTTCTGCGGCTGTTACATTTACAGTCAACGGTTAAGAAGTTACTTGACATGGTGTGATAATTACTATATGCATGACCTTGGATCACTGACAGCTCATGGTTGCACATTTGCGGGAATATATAAATACGGTGAAGAAACAACTACTGGTAACTATCTCAGATTGAACGTTTTATTCTTGTTTAATTAAGAGGCAGTTATAGTATTTCAGCGAAATATTTATCCCTTAGGTGGATTGTAACATACTCCACTTTAAAACTTTTAGTAATTTTAGCTTTTCGAGATTTATGGAAGCGCAAGTGTCCAGAATGTACTACATTGCTTAATATTATAATATTCACTTACTTTATTCACATTATCATAATAAATATATGAAGAAACATTTATCTCACACTAGCACATCATGCATTTAATTTATTGATATTCTAATTTTATCAATGCATGTCTACGTAGACTATTGTATACCACACCGCAAATTCTATCGGTCTCTAATGCACTTCAGTAGAAAGCTAAAATTATTGCTGATTAGTCGTTGCCTAAATTTTCAAAAAAATTTGCCGTTTCAATTTATAGTACGATTCACGTCTAAAAGT